GCCGGGAGCGGCCACTGCACTCCAGTCTGGATGACAGAGTGAGACTCCAACTAAAAAAATATATATATATATGGTACAAGTGTGCTGGACCCAGGTAAGGGCCCGAGAGCCAGAGGGAAAGAGGCTCTAGCTTCTTCTGGTGTTAGCCTGGGCCCTGATAGGGAATCCTACTCCTGCTGTGGCCTCAGCATCCTCCTCTGTAAAATGGACACAAGCCTTCCATTCTAGACACATGCATCCCTCCCAACCCACGGCCCCCTCTCTCTGAGGAGAGCCCCTCCTGGCTCAGGGACTGAACTGCCAGAGCCTCTGGGCTCAGAGACAAAAGGGGCCCATTCCTGGAATTGCCCATCCCTGGGGAATTGGAGCAGAGGGGTGGGGCCTTCCTTGTCCCCAGACTGTCAGGTGGTGGGGGCGGCCTGAGCAACAGCAGGCTGCCGGCATACCCTCCCTCCTTCCCCCATCTCTGCCGGCAGCCACCGCAGCTGTCAGGAATTAAGGGCTTGAGGCTGCTGGGGGTGGGGGTGGGGCTGTAGGGGGAGCAGTCTGGCCGGACTGCAGGAAAACAGCCGGGGGCAGGAAGCGGACTGCGTCAGCCAGAGCCTTATTTGACCCTAGCCGCCCCCTGCCCTCCCCACTCTCCCCCACCATGCTGCAGGGACAGCTCGGGACAAGTCTTTGGGAAGGGGATGGGTAGGACCAGACTCAATCTGGGAAGGAAGTCTGAGCCCAGGATGGGAGAGGGCACCAGCTGGCTCGAGAGTCGTGTTCTCATTGGCTGTTGGGGAAACTGAGGCCTAGAAAGGATTAGGAACAGGCCCCAAGTGACATGAGGAAGAGCTCCATAATCAGGTTGCAGGCCTCTTTATGCCCCATCCAGTGCTTACACTAGCATTTCCCACGCTTGATGTATCTTATGTGTCCCCTGGGACAAGCCATTGTGGGACATACTGGTTCCAGGCCCCACGGAGCAGAATCCGCCTGTCCAGGAACAAGGCCCAGGGTTTTGCATTTCTAGCCAGTATCCCATGAGATTTGGGGGGGCTCACCTTTGGGAAATGCTGCTCACTTGGTTGAGCAGCTAATTTATTTTACTTTGGCCTTCTTCTGACCAGGGAGGATCTCTTTGCTCCTGCCTCCACTGTTCACGAAATATAGCGATGCAAGAGAGAGAGAAAACCTTTCCTTTGAAAATCCCTGGAGGCAAACAGTGAGTCCCAAGGCTTGCAGTGGGGTATGATTCTGGCCTGGTATCATGATGGCCTAGGAGTACCCAAGTCTGGGGCAGCTCTTCTCAGTCCAGGAAGAGGAGAGGAGGGCAGATGTAGACACAGGACCTGGGAGTAGTTGTAGATGAAGCCCAGAGAGAGTGTCTGCCACTAGGGCCCCAGCCCCATATGACCCACCCCATGGCCAAGCCCCTATCAGCAGACCCTAGTCCCCGCCCTGGCCCTGCCCTGGGCCCTGGCCCTAAGCCCAGCCCCAGCCCCCGCAGCCGCCGCCTGAGACCACAATTACAGGGGCCACTGAGGGTGGGGGGAGCACCCAGGATGAAAGGCAGCTCGGAGAATGGTTCCAGCTGTGGCAGCTCTGAGGAGGTCACAGGGAAGGAGGGCTGGGGAAGACACCAGGGTGAGAACAGGTGGGACCCTCATGGCCCCAGCATCGCCCAGTCCAGCCCAGTTCAGTCCTGATTCTCAGCTGGAGAAGTTTATCTTGGTGAAGAAGAGAGGGAAGAAGCCCCAGACCTGATAAGGGGGCTCTTTGTCCCATTCTCCAGCCCTCAGGATCACCGCCCCTCAGCAAAGTAAGGGGGAATCACCTGCTGCTTCAGTCCCCCCAAACTCCTTGTAAGTTTGGTCATTGCGGGGCAAGGGAAACATTCCCTGAGCCCTTGGCCTCAGGCTGAGCCTAGGCCTCCTCCCCGGCCTCCTCAACTCATCTTCCCGTGTTCCTCTTGTTCCTGATGTGGTCATGCACACATCTGGGGTGCCTCTGTGCACCTCCCCCACCTCCCAGTTCCACATGTCTCCCCCACCACTCAGCCAGTGGGGGACCGTGATGGCTCAGACTGCCTGGGGCTGAGCAGCTGGGTGAGCAAGGGGGATGGTGGTGATGCGGCACGCAGAGCTCTGCTTCCGGCCCTCTTCCCAGACAGCATTGCAAAAGCAGAGCCATCCCTGAACTCAAAGAGACTGGGTTAATTGCCCCAGGCACGCCTCCTGGGCCATCACTCTCACCCTTCATACAAGGCAGTTCCCAGACCCCTTTGGGGCTTGGTCATAGACGATGGACCACTAACATGTGGTCAGCAGCTTAACGATTGGCACACACTCCCACAGTGAACTAAGAAGCTATCAAGCACCCCTATTTGGTGACAAGAAGACAGGGGCTCAGACAGGTTAACTGACTTGACCAAGATCAAGCTAGCAAACGAAACCTTTTACTGTACCATGCTACTTCCTCTGAATTTCTTTTAACCTGCTTGGAGTGGTATCAGTTCATGCCACCGTCCCAGTTTCTCTCTTTGGCATCATTGGAGGAAGATGTCCAGCATTACCCACCCCATCTCATTCCCCAGGACCTGGCAAAAGTAGAGACTGTGAGGCTGGCTTTCCAACCCCAGGTCTGGGCCAGTCCAGAGGTCCCAGACAGTCTGGAATCCTAGGAGCTTGACCCAAGCTATCCATAGGCCTCCTTGCTTCCTTTCAGTCCTACCTTCTCCTGCCCACTGCTCTCTGCAGGTCTGTCACGGGCTGTTAACAGAGAAGCTGGGCTCTGCATGCCCCCTGGTGTTCTTTGTGAGAAGTGCATGATTTCTTTCTTTCTTTTTTAAAGTAAGCACGGAGCTTTGGGAGAAGGCAGAGCTGTGAATATAAACCCTGCCCTCAAGGGGCTTTATTTCACCTTTGTGCTGCCCACAATGGGTCCTAGTATCTCGCTCGGTAAGCTAACAGTTTCCTTTGGTCGAGGCTTTCTGAGTCTAAATTCTCCATGACTTCTCTGAAGCCCAAACTTTTGACCTGAGGGAGCCTGGAGGAGGCAGAAAGGAAACCCAGATGCCCCATCCTTCCCCCTTCCCCCCGATACCCCTCCCCATCGTGAGCCTTTGGGACTGAATCAGGCTAGGTCATCGAGTGAGTGCAGGGGCTTTGTGGGGGTGTACTGGAGGCCATGGTTAGGGTCTATCACTGCCCTTCCTTCTGATTCATTTGAAGAACTCTACTTTCCTCTCTGTGTTTCCATATTGCCTGTGATAGCGGAGCTGCCAATCTCAGTTATGGTAGTACATCTCCCTGGACACTGCTATTGGTTCAGGGATAGACAAATAACCAAGCTGAACTAATCAAGGTCCTCCTTGGGACTTCTGCTGGAGAGAAATGGGAAGGCTATTTTTCTTCTTCCTCCTCTTCTTCTTTCTTCCTTTCTTTTTTTTCCCCCTTTGACAGGGTCTTGCTCTGTCATCCAGGCTGAAGTACAATGGCACGATCATTGCTCTCTACAGCCTGAGACTCCCGGGCTCAAGCAATTCTGCTGCCTCAGCTTCCTGGGTAACTGGGATAACAGGTGCACACCATCATGTCTGGCTAATTTTTTTATTTATTTTTTGTGTGTGGAGACAAGGTCTCCCTATGTTGCCCCTGCAGGCCATTCTTTTTTGGATTTAGGAATGCAGGAATAGAGCTGTAAGAATGGAGGCAGTATTCAAAGAGTTTGAGAAGGAGAGAACAAGGAGAGTATGCAGAGAGACAGAGATCGGAAACAACAGGTGCAGAGGTGAGGGACCAAGGAAGGAGATGAGAGACTGATGACATCATGTGGGCTCCTTGGTTCAGCTACACCTAATTTCACTTACCCCTGACTTCCCAAGTATAAGAGGCATTCGTTAATTCCCTGTGGCCTCAGCTAAAAGTTGGGCATTTTCATTTGCAATCAAGGCCTGCCCAATACCTGCAAAGTATCATCTTTCTATCCCTATTCTCACAGTAACTACCACTTATTAAACATAAATTTGACATAAATTGTGTGTCAAATGCTATGCTAAGTGCTTTTCATATCTGAAAAAAAGTCCTCCAAACAATCCTCTGAGGGCGTGGGCTGGATTACAATGCTGCAAATTCTTTGCTACTCCTCCCATCGAGAGGTGGAAAATCTATTTACCCTCCCTTTGAATTTTGGCTGGTTCTGAGACCTGCTTCAGCAAATAGAGAGTGACAGCGATGCAATGTAACTTCCAGAGCTGGACCTTAAGAAGAGACTTACAGCCTCTGTAAGGGTTTGGCAAGGGAGCCCCCAGAAGCAGACACACTGTTGTGAAACACTTGCTCTCTGCTGAGGAAAGCTCAGGGCAGGGTGGCAAGATGAGCAGGTCTGGCCCCGGGAACTGGGAGACCCAGCCAGGACCATCTGCAAACACTTAGAAGACAAGTGTTCGGGTTGCTTCAAGTTTGGTACACTCTCTTTTGAAAGTCAGTCTTGTGTAAGAAGTCCAACTACCCTAAGGCCACCATACTGTGAGAAACCCCAGGCTAGCTACATGGAGAGAACAAGGACATTGGAGAAGCTCTGAGGACCTAGACATGTGAGTGAGGACTCTTGCACTGTCTCCAGCCTTCAGCCTCCAGCCCCGTGAATGACCCCAGCCAGTGGTTCTGCCATATGGAACAGACCTTCCCAGCTGAGATCTGACAATCCATGACAAAAAATCCTGAGAGGTAATTACTTTGGGATTGTTTGGTGCAGCAATGGATAACTGAAACAGGGTAATATCCCCATTGTGTAGGTAGAGAAACAGGTTAACTTGGCCTATGTTACAAACTTTTTTTTTTTTTTTGAGTCGGAGGCTTATGGCCACTGCAGCCTTGACCTGTTGAATTCAGGCGATCCTTACACCTCAGCCTTCCAAGTAGCTGGAACCACAGGCATGTACCACCATGCCTGGCTAATTTTTTTATTTATCGTAGAGACAAGGTCTTGCCATGTTTCCCAGGCTGGTCTCAGACCCCTGAGTTGGTTCAACCAATCCTCTCACCTCTGCCTCCCAAAGTGCTGGGATTACAGGCATGAGTCACCACATCTGTCTGTTGTAAACTTCTAAATGGCAACACCAGCTTCCAAGCCAGAGCTCATGCTTTGTCCTACATACCTGGATGGGGAAATCATTCCCTCATTGCAGTATTTGGCCTGGAGGAAAGATGGGGGTTCTGAATCCCAGCAGTTAGGTTGTACCTGCTCCCATTCTCTCCAGAGGAAGATGGGAGCATAAACTTCATCCATGGAGAACCCAGAACTGCCTCTGTGACCCTTCACCCTCACCATCAGCTTCCCAAGAGAAACCAGAAGGAAGGACATGTTGTTGAATGCCAAGAGAAACCTCAGGACACACACACTTCCTCGCCCTTTAAGTGCGATTAGAAATGCTGTTCTGCACAGTTTTTCATCATCAAAGGGGATGGAGTTAGTTTTGATGGTAACAAAATCTAGTGTTGTTAATAACATTTTCATCACATTCTACAGTTTACAAAGTGCTTTAATCCTATGGGCTTGGGTAGCCCCAAAAGTCTATTCTTGAATTCCCTGGGCAAAGGGGGGTGTAGAGCCAGACACAATCCCCTAAAACATAAGATCATGGTTTGTGTGAGAGCCCAGCCCACCACCAGGGGCCTCTGGTCCCCCTTTTCCTAGACCCTTTCACTCTGTCCCTTTAAAGGGGAATTGCTAGTTCTCCCCCAGCTTACAGATTCAGGCCCTACCTGTGTGACAGAGTGAACAAGAAGGGTGGCAAGGGAGGGATATAGGGTTTCCAGGGGAGCCCAACACGGTGGTGGTGAGTGGAGACAGGACCCAGGGTGATGACTTCTGAGATGCTCCCCTCCCTTTACATGCTCCTTCAGGAGCTTGGTCCTCGGGCAGCTCGCAGGAGACCAGCCTCCCCCCCAAACTGGGGGTCCAGCGCTATTGGTTTAAATATCTTTATTGAAACTCAACTCACCCCCCC